ACCGAGGTCAGATTGCCAAAGCATTTGATGCCGACAAGGCTCGTGCCGTGATTGGTAATTCTGAGGTTCAGGCCGTGCGCGACCTCTTGGTACCGCCCGGGCTGACCCCGTACATTGCTTCAACACCCGCCTCCACGTCTACACTGGCACCAGCCACGGCTGTGAGCTCCCCAACCGTGTCCTTCACCAAGGGTGAGCTCCCCAAGGCGTTGGCGGCCACCAAGGGTGTCACCGACCCCTATGGTTGGTCTGGTGAGCTTCTTGCCTCCATCTACCGCATCAAGGAGCACTTCAGTCAAGTCTTGGGCCCACGCCAGGGTTCTACCAGCGACCCGACTGCTCCTTCTGATGGAGACGCGCCTCAGGGCCCCACCACCGCCACTGGAGGTCCTCAGGTTGCCTTGAACAAGATCTTTCACCACATTGCCAACAACACCGTGCCCGAGTCGATTCGACATGCCCTTTGCTCCATCAACTACACTATCCTGGAGAAAGCCAATGGCAAGTTTCGACCCGTGGGCACGGATTCCATCTTCAACAAGGTTGTCAACCGCGCTCTGCTGGAGCAACAGCAGCCCCATATTGCCCACTTGCTACAGGCCAGTCCAGAGCTGGCCGTCGGAGTCAAGGACGGCATTTCAGCAGCGGTTGGCATGGCCTTTGGTGAGCTTCAAGCCTGTGAGTCTACCCCGGGCTGGACCATGCTCTCCCTCGATTTCAAGAGTGCCTTCAACTACACCGACCGAGCACGGCTGCACGAGATTGTGGCCGACAAGGTCCCTGGCCTCTTGCGCGCCTTTGAACGACACTATGCTCGACCCACCACCCACTGCATTGTCGACAAGCTCTTCAAGGTGATTGACATTGATGTTGGCCAAGGCATTGTGCAGGGCAACGAGCTATCGCCCTTCTTCTTTGCCCTGTACTCCTGTGAGGTCCTCGGTCTCCTCGACGCCACCACTGACTACCGCTGCAAGATCATCAAATACCTCGACGACATTGTACTGATGGGTCCCGCGGAGGACGTGGCGGCCGACGTGGAGATTGTCAAGGCTCGTGCAGAGTCTGCTGGCCTCCATCTGCAGCCCAGTAAGAGCCGCTTCTACATGCCTCGCCACCATTCGGCTTCCATCACTGCTATCGAGTCAGCCTTGCCAGATGCCGTGCGCGAGACGGCCAACACGGGCATGACGGTCTTGGGAACGCCGATTGGCCGTCGCGAGTGGATGAAGAAGCAGCTGAACGACAAGGCAAAGCACATCTCTGGCAAGCTCAATGACATGCTGACGACCGGTGTCTCGCTTCAGGCCCTCCTCACGGCCATGCAGTACGTGCCTAGCCTCATCAACCACCTCTACACGCTGCCCCCAAGTCTGACGTCGGGCTTGTCCGAGCTCTTGAACCGTGCTTGCAAGGACACCTTTGTCAAAGCCTTTTTTGCCAAGGTAAACCTGTCTGCACCGGCTGGAGCTGAAGGTCATGACGTTACGCTGGAACAGCTCCTTGAGGCTCGCCTCTTCACACGGGCCAACACCGGGGGCTTTGGCCTGCACGACTTGGTTGAGCGCGGTCCGGTGGCTTATGTCTGCAACATGGCCAAGCTGGCCACTCGCTACCCTCGGGTCTACGATCGACTTTTGGAGGATGCATCGAGGGCTGACGACTTTGAGGCCCACGTGCAGCGAGCTGGCTTCCAGATGGCCACGGTCAAGGACGCGGCGACCCAGCGACCAGCTGAGATCATTGCCCTCCGCTCCAAGGCGGCACTGGACGACCTGATGGCCAAGTGTGCGCTGGACCTGCAGCAGGCATATCTGGCCTCACGCGAGTGGGGCGTCAGCACTGTCTTGACCATGCGGGGTCGAGACAAGTTGCGTCGCTTGAGCGACACGACCTTTGCCATTGCGGTCGTGTCCATGATGGGTT